ATTGCTACCACCTTTGCTGTCCCCAAAGCACCCATCTCACCACCACACTTACAAGCTCCAAGACTCAAATCCAGCACTTGAGGCTTAGTCCTCTGGGAATACCAGGCCAATATTGGGGTACAGACCAGTACATCTGTAGCCCAGTAGGTCACCAAGAGGTGCCAGTGGGAGCTACAAAGCAGCCAAAACTTATGTCCTGAGCAGGGGTACCTCCTAACCACACTTTCCTCATGGAAGCATCATAAGAAAATAGTCTCTTACACTCTACAGGCAGTGAGTTCAATAGTTTGCAGATAATACACCCTCTCCATCCATCCATCCATCCATCCATCCATCCATCCATCCCTCAAGGATCTGACCACCACAAGCAACAAATGAAGGTATCTGCACCTACATCTCCAAATGAATCTATGCTCTCCAACTATATTGGTAATCTCAGATTGTTCCTAAAATTTATAATTTTGAAATAACATTACACATGCCTGCCCACTGTGAGAAAGATCTGCTAAGGTTTCCTGTGACAAGAGTAAGTAGAGAAGAAGTGAGCAGCTAATTTGAATGTTGCTTTACCATGGGGTTGGGATTAAGGTATGGGTAGGTCAACTATTGCCCCAAAATACCATCCTTGCCTCAGCTGCTCTCAGTTTTACACCTTTTATGCTATCAGTCCAACCACATTCAGCTGAATATCTCTTGACAATGGGCTGCTCAAGTGCCGAAGAACAGCTCGAAGTGATTCATTCCTCCTCAGGGGTCCATGCAAGACATTCAGTGACGTTAATCTGGATCAGCTTTAGAAGACACTGCTTAAACAGCAGGGGACTCCCAAGTAGACAGCCCAATTAAGCATCCTTCCCCTAAGACAGGAGGCCAGCTAAGCTTGCATTAAAGCCCATCAAGTGTCCTGTTAATTAGGTACCCTTTACTATCACATCTGTGGTCATCCCAGTGGAAGCTACCAAGAGGCTGGACACCTCATCATTTTTCACCTCCTTTTGTCACTTCACTTATTTCTGCCTTTGCTTTGGGTGGTGAGATGAAAGGCGCAGCAGCTCTGCCCTTATCCACTTTGCTCTCCAGACTCCCCTCCAGTTTTCTTTTCACATTAACTGTGTCACACACCAGACTCTCATTGACTAACTGCCGGAGGGAGACCCTCACTGAGTGTTAATTGCTATTAATGAGCTGTTGCTGCTTTCCTTCCAAGAACACCAATTACAACAGCACTCAGGCACTGCAAGAAGATGCATATCTGCAGCAAATCAAGGCAAATTCTACTCCAGACCCTGGCATCGCACTACCAGCATCTCCTGGAAAACATTTTAAATCAGGATGAGACCAGGTAAAGTATGGCAGCAGGCAGCTCTCCTACCCCCTGTTCTTCATATGGTGGGTTAGTATAAATGTCCCCGACTTGCTTCCTATGGCTCCTGGTGTGGTGCCTTGCAGCAATGTCTGTGCTCAGCTGTTGACCTGAGCTCTTGCTTAAGCCTCCCTCCAGCCACAAGCACACATTCCCACTGGTGGGTTTTACATGTGAGTGGTGGCCCAGCTGGCTCAGAGCACAGTGAGACTTGTCCCATACACTACTAGAGAAGGTGCAGGAAGGACTTGGCAAGTTGGCTTGATAGCTGTCATTGTGCACAGCAACACTGTCATCATGTCAGCATCATCCCCTGCCCCAGAGCTGGGGGCAGCTCCTACCTCAGCTACATTGTGGTCCATCCCCAACAGAGCTTTACAATCCTTCTTTCCAAACTTCATTTCCCTCTCTTGCTAAGCATGGACAGGAGTATATTTTAGCACCAATTGTAGCTCAGGAAGTATACTGAGAAGTCCACCAGCTAAGAAGCACTAGAGCACTGTTCTTAAGACTTCTCCCTCTGATTTGTCTTTCTCAAAGGTCCAGCCCAAGGAAAGGAGATTTTAAATGACAGATGTACTAAGATGGTAAAAGCTTTTGCATGAGTGCTTAAGGTCATGCAAGTCAAGACAAGGTATCAAGACCTTTCACTGAAACAGACTGAATCTCTCTACAATGTTAATAAGAAATTGTCCAGTGTCTCACTCTGACTTTCTCATTTGGGTTATTTTTGGCCATACTGAGAAGCATTCACATCCAAACCACTCTTTGTGAGAGCCTTGAAATGAAATACAGCAGAGCTGACTTACTTCATGAAAAAAAATTGCAAGGTTTTTGTCTTGCCACCTTGGTCTGAAAGGAGACTTAGAAAGCAGCACCTGCAGTGGGGTTTCTCTCTCCCTCTGCTCCCCCAAAGCCGCAGCTCCCTCCTGGGATCTGGCATGTGGTTCTTCAGCAGGTATGAAAAAGCGCAAGTGTCTCAGCAGAGCAGCAGCCGGCTCTCCTCCAATTACACACCAAAAGCTTTTGCTCACATTGAAGCACCTGGCTCCTATTGTGCTGCCTTTTCTCAGTTTGTTAAATTTTAGTTCATATTATTTCTCCCATTTTTGGCTTTCACCCTAAAAATCCTTCAGTAAGTTTCCCAGCTGCCCCACTCCTCATAAATGTTCATTTAATACCTTACGAGTAAACTCAGAGGTACTTGGTCAGCAGGAGCTCTGCCTGAACAAAACCCCTTGGACTAAGGTCACCTGCTCATGTATCTTGGGATTCATCCTCCAACTTTGGGGGAACAACACCAACGTGGCCATGCCCTTGGGCGACCTCAAGCTCATCTTGTTTTTTCCCAAACCCATGCTACTGTTTCCCAGTGATTTTCCCACAAATTTATATATTCTTCCCCAGAAGCCAGGGTACCCTCAGCAGGAATGAGCCCAGAGAGGGTGGGTGTCCGGTAGCATCTCTGAAGAAGCCAGCCAAAGGCAGCTCAGAAGAGCTCAGCAGCAGCAGGATTCAACTCATGCCCCCACATTTCCCAAATGCCAGGCACACCAGATTTCGTTTTTCAGAGCTTAGTCTACAGACAATCAATCTTGTCTTCTGTGCAGGCCAATGAGGTCTGCGGAAAGAAAATTGCAAAAGATTTTTTATTTCCCTAGTGTTCCCATTTTCCCATTCCTTTCCCACAGAAGCGAGGTTTTTGTTTTGTTTTGTTTTTCTTTCCCAACTTTCAGGGGAAAATCCTGACAAATGGAAGCCCTGATTCATACCAGCAAAAATTTGGCCTTTTTTAATTTAAGGTGGAGCCCTTCTTGTCTGAGGATGAAAACATTTCTCTAACTGCACACAGAAGGCAAGGACCAAGCCTTTGCCCTGATGAAGCAAAGATCAAGTGGCATTGGATGCTCATGGCCACCATGAGCAGAGTCACTGTGCAGGCAGGAGGGCTGTTCGTCTCCTCCACACTCAGGAAAGCACACTGCCCATGCTTGCTCACAGGGATGGGAAACAAGGAGACAGACAGGCACAGGGTGGTGATGGTGCCTGTCACCAAAGAGACTTCCAGGGGTAGGGAAACAAGTTCTTGGGGCGATGCTCAAACAGAGGCAGGGTGTGTGGCACCATAGCCGGAGGGGTGCTTTGGAAGAAAGGCTCCCCATCCTCCTGTGCATTCTCAGATGACTGAAGAACATGTGACAAAGGCTCAGGAAGGGAGGAAGGGAAGTATTTGTTCTCTCCCATCACCACCATCTGAGCAGAGACACCTGCTTCCCTCCTCCCTCCATGTCCCACCTGTGAAGCAGCAGAGTGAAGAAGCTGGCTTGGGAAAAGAGGGATTTATGGCCACAGCCTACCTGCTCCCACAGCCCAGGAAAAAAAAGTAAAGGAGAAAGAAGACAATCGAAGGAGAAACATGTCCCTAAAACCCTCCCTTGCACCTTTTCTTCCCAGATGCTGCCATTCACACCACACTGCTCCAGTGGGCACCTCTGCCTGTTGCCAGGAGCTGGCAGCAGGGAATGAGCAATTTTCTCTGACATCGAGACAGAAATGGCTTTAAAAAAGAAAAGAAAAAGACGTGACTTTTTTTCCCGTTCCCTCTCTCCAGCCAGAAAGCACATTTGGCAGAGCCCTGAGTGCTGGAAGCCATCAGCAGGGCTGCCGGCACCTCAGAGGCTCCAGGGAAGAGGGCAGGTGTGTGCAAGCCACTAACACTGAGGACACTGTTCCTGCCAGCCCAGGGTCCCCCATCATGCAAGAGGATCCCCTTCTCCATCCTGCCCCAGCAGCTGCCTCCAAAGTGCTCTGGGCAGAGCAAGGGTCCCCTGAGGCCACATGCTGATGCTCCACAGAGCAACGTGGGTTTTGCAAGGCATTTTACACCTGTAGCATTTGGTAAAGGCACATGTCCTCCTCCAGCACCAAGCAGCCACCCTATGCCTTTTCTTGAAGGGAGGGATTTTCTGCCCAACCACTGTTTGGCTTTGAGGTTGAAGGTTTGATCAGCCCCTGACCATGCCCAGCCAAGGGCATCCCCCCACTGGCACTGCTCCAGGATGAGATTCAGCAAGGCTCATGCACACCAACCCACACATTACCAAATCCTGTCACTCACATCTAGCAGCATCGCCTCCTTCTCAGCACCCCAGCACTCAGGCAAAGGCATTTTGAATACAAATTAAGAAATATGGCTTTTTGACACGTCCAGGGATGGTGGGGAAGGGGCAGCAATCCCTCTGCTGCATCCCGTGCAGGGGACTCAAGGGAATCAGCACCCTTTGCACGGGGCAGCTCTGCCCACCTCAGGGATGTGCATGCTCACACTGGTGTGCCAGCAGAGACCAACAGCTCTGCACTGGGAATCTCTCTGGGGAGGAGATCCCTATTACCCCCTGCTCATTTTTTGGGGGGAAAACACTTAACAGCAGGGCATTGCAGAGAGTAAGGACTCAGTGCCATCCTGCACTGTGGGATTTACTTCCTCTCAATGGCACAGCACACCCATCCCACAGGAAAACACCACACCGCCTTCCCACACTGGGAAGTGGCATGTCAGAAGCAACATCCAGGCACAGGGGGGGTGTCAGGGACCCCATCCCTCAACATGTCCCCCCTCCATAAGCCCCGTACCTACCGCTGGGGCGAGTCAGGGTCAAAGCAGGTCCTGGACACGTCAGTGGCCTGCGGGTCACAGCAGTCACCATCGTCGAAGTCATCCAACATGTTGTTGCACTCCATGTGGCAGATGCCGTCACGGCGCTTCCAGGAGAAGCAGCGGCCGGGCCGGCGGCAGTCCCCACCATCATAGCCAGTCAGGGGATGATCACACTCGGGGTCGCAGCGCTCGTTGCCCACCTTGCTGGGCTCACAGCCCAGGAGGATGGCACGGCGGCGCAGGGAGGAGTTGCGTACCTCCAGCAAACTGAGCTGCCAGGAGATGTTGTAAGGTCGGAAAGCTTCGCTCAGTGCCCAGTGTTGTCGCCAAACCTGCTCCCGGCTGACGGTCGGCCGCTCGCCATTGTCCTCTGCCAGGTTCACCACCCGGTACCGCACAACCTTCCCGCTTCGCAGAGGCCAGTGCTGGTTATAGTGGGAGACCAGCTCCACGTTATCGCAGGCAGTCTGCCCGCAGGCAGGGGGTCCCAGTGGCCTCAGGACAGGGGAGGGCGGGGACGGCAGCACCCACTGCTGGGGGAAGGCACCCTCCCGAAAAGGCACCCAGTGCTCCTCTGGTGTGGCAAAGCCAGCGGCCAGAGCCAGCCCTGCTGCCCCATCAGCTGGCCCCTCTAGGAAGGGACGTTGGAGATGGGGCTGGGACAGAGCGCCGTGCCACAGGGCCAGCCCAGCCAGGTGTCCCCGGAAAGTGTGTGTGGACCCCCAGGCGTCCCCCCCCAGCAGCAGAGTGCGGCAGGAGGCCATGAAGGCACTATGCAGAGGTCCTCCCTGCCCGCCAGCAAGGCCCACCCGTGCCCCATCCACGTAGAGGGCCATCCACCGCCCATCGTAGCTGGCAGCCAGGTGGGTCCATGCCTCGGGGTGGTAGCGGTGGAAGGAGGTCACCTCGGTGGCAGTGGCTGCCCGGTCCGTGCGGAGGGAGAAGAAGAAGTGGGCATCCTTCTTGCCTCCAAGCTGCAGGGCGTGGATGCCCAGTGCCCAGCCCTTATCGCTGGCCGTATGCGAGCAGTTGTCAAAGACGCCTGCAGAGGGGATGGGTATGGAGAAAGAGGAGAGCTGGTGAGGACCAAAGAGCATCGCTGCTCCTTCCCAGAGCATAAGCCAGGTTCTTGGCAGCAGGACAGCTCTTGGCAGGGTTGCAGGGAGGCTCCCACTGCCACGGGTAAATGAAAGTGGCCAGGAGCTGGGCAATGAGTGCTGCACCAGGGGGGACAGCCCAGCCCCCATTCAAAATTATCTGGGTGAGCAGGTGGAGTAGCCAGGAGGGACAAGCAGAGCTGGAGAGGAGGAATGGAGCAGGGAGGAAGAGCATGGACAGGAGGAGAGGCTGAAGAGCAAGGTGTTTCTGAGCTGCTCTCTGTAGGAGCGCTCCTGCGGGATGGGATTAGAGGATAAGCTTTTTATCTGCAGTCCAAAGCTTTTAAGAATTAGAGCACAGCAACCCGAAGCAAAACAGCCTCCTCCAGGGACTGCTTCCCCAACAGCTTCCAGGCAGATTTACAGCTCTCCTTTATGCTCCAGTTTTCCTCCCAGTCATGCATCCAGTGCATGCAGGCGAGGGTCAGAGAGGGATGTGCTGCCTCCAGGTTCACTCCTCAGCCCCCAAGGTCTCCCAAGCATAAATCCATCCCCAGGAATAGGTGTGAGCTCAGCCTCTCCTGTGCACCCAAGCATGTTGCAAACCTGTGTTTTAGGCTGGGCAAGAACTAGAGATTTGATGACTCCTCGAAACTCAGGCTGCTATGTGCCCAGGGTTGAGAAAGAGAGGCTTTCAGGCACTGGATGCCCTTAGGAATCACTGTCCATAAGGCACTTAAATACTGGCAAGGGCAAATGAACCACTGCTTGAAATAAATGCCTCTGGGCTCCTAAATCACCACAGCTAGGGTGTTCATACAGGTAATCAGCTGGAGCGAGCAAGCTCACAGGCACACTTTGAGCGTTATCAGTAGCATCTTCTGGGAGCTCCCTGCTCTCCCATTCACCACCCCAACAAATGGCTTCTAGACACAACAGTGCCCAGATGCTGCCAAAACCTGTTGCTGTGCCCTGAGGCCCTTTTTATATTGTGCTGTGGTATTTCTTATGCTCCAGCCTGCTTTTCCCTGCTGCACGGGTTCTCCTGATGCTCACTGTGCCACTCCCATTGCATGAACTGGCTGCTCATCTCTGTGGGGCCAGAGCATCACAAGGCACTCCTACCCTGCCCCACTGCCTTATCTGTCCTTAGGGATGTTCAGTATGACACTCTGAGGAAACTGTAGCTGCTGCTGGGATTGCAGAGGGAAGCAGAGGTGTAAAGGAGCAGGAGCTCCAGGAGGAGCAGGACCTCCTGGCTTTCATCCAGGGTATGTGACTGAAGCCAGGTTACCACCTCTCCCCTGCTGGCCCTCATCAACGTGGCTGATAAAAGTCACGTCAAGCCCTGTGCACCCCAGGAAGCAGCACCCCTCCCTCCCTCCCTTCATCCATCCCTTTCACAGACAGCGAGATGGGTGGTGGCCTCTTGGCCATCCCACGATCGTAACCACCCCAGGCACGGATCCCTGCCACCGCTCACTGCAAAGGCAGCCACGCACAAAGCCTCTGTGGGCGGATGGGTTTTGGCTGACTCTTGTTTTCTGGTGGATTGTGAAAGGGAAGCAGAAAGAGCAGTGGAAGCTGAGATGGGTAGAAGCCAAAAAGCGGGAGACATGCAACGGAGCCTTGCAGGCGTGAGAAGGCAAATCTGGGCAGTACTTTTGGGCTGGGTGCTGACTGAAAGGTGCTTAGATCTGCACACTCGAAAGCCATCTTCTTATATCTGGTTGTCACTGGGGTTAAGGAAACAGAGCTTGGTACCTCCTCTCTTAGGAAAACTCATGCATTTCACCTTGAAAGGATTTAGAGTGCCCCAGATTTAATTAAACACTCTGGAAAAACTGGGGCAAATTGCATCAGGGGTAGAACATGCCTGATGCACCCCCCAGAAATGGGGTGAGTGTGAGCTAGCATCCTCACAAACTCATGGAGACAAGCCAAGCCTGGAAGTGCCTGACAAGTTCAAAACTGTCCAGAAGAACCTTAAGTGTCCCTAAAACTCTCTGGAGTTCTAGGTCTGGAGACTTCATCAAAGAGATGCAAGTAAGGTTCTACAAGTTGGCCCTACAACAGAGGCTGGACTGCCACTATAGCAGGAGCTGGTGCTTCCTAGAATGGCAGGGGATGCCACCTCCAGTGCAGTAGCAGCCACAGAGTGTGCAAGCCGAGCAGCACGTCCCACAGCCAGGAGCTACTGCAGAATGGTGAAACACAGCCACCCAGCACCAGGTTCTGACATGTGCCAGGAGCCTCCACAAGAAATCACCAGGGGACCAGTTTCAAGACCCTGGAATTTGCCAAGGAGTTCCTGGTATTTTGTCCCAGGGCAAGGCACCAAGAAGGGAAAGATCTCTTTGCAGAGGAGATGCAAGGTGATCTCTTCAAAACCTTTAAGTGCAACTCTGCCTCTGATGCATCATGTGGGAAAGGGAAGGTCTAACCTGGTTTGTGATTGTCATCAGTGCTTATGGTGATAGCTTCAGGGTTTAAGAAAAGAGTTGTCAGGTACAGTGCAAAAAAATGAAGGGAAAGGTGTTTGATGAGGAAAAGCTTCCAAAGAGATGAAGTGCACCAGCTTGTAAGGACCACACTCAAAGCAACACCTTCTCCTGCTGGGTCCAGGAGCTTTGCAGCACAAGGAATAGTTCAGCCACACTTTGAGACTAAGATACCAGGGAGAAATTAGCTCCTAAAGTTCTGGAGGGTCTGACACAGGCCAGGAGCCCCTAGCTGTGTCACGAGAGTAGCTGGCCACAGATGGTGGCCACTCCTTGGGGCGTGCAGTGGTGAGCAGCTCAGGGACCCAAGGAGGACACCTGGGCTTAGGCACAGCAGAAGTTTGGGACTGCCTCTGGTGAAGGATCTTCTGACTCAACAAAACCATCGTTGATCTGAGTAAAAACCAAACCTCAGTCAGGCATTTGTGCCAAGGGGAAGTCCCCTTGGAATTTACCAGAAGCAAAGCAGGCATGGATGAAGGGTAGACAAAAAAAACGCAGAAAAAGAAATGGCATTACATGAAAGGACTCTCATCTGCTGCCCAAAATGAGAAGGACGTGGAAGAGGTATCACTGTCCTTCCCTGGCGGTAGCCATAGCAGGTCACTGGGATTACACCCCAGCAGAAATCCTCCTGTGCAAGAGGAGCTTAGAGGGATGAACAGCCCCATCCAGGGTGTCCCTAAAGCAAAACATGACAGCTGCAGGAACAAAGCCCCAACTCCTGAGCCTTCAACCCAGGCAGCAGTCACACCAGCCAACAGGACAGCTTGTTTTGCCCAGACAGAGACAGAGCTGCTCAGCCTGGCCTTATTTCCCAGTCAATGACTCCAGGAGATGCTCAGTTCTGCCCTGCTTTCCTCCCACCTTCCCTCACACAAGGACACGTGGAGCATCTCCAGCTCCTCCACAGCTATGGACCCACTCATGGCTTGGTCCCCCCTCTACCAACACAAGAGGAGCAGCAGATCAGTCAGAGGCAGACTGGGCACCTGCCGAAGGGCTGTCAGCTGCCTGCATCACCTGCTTTCATGAAACACCAGAGGTGCTAGCCTGTCCCACTTCACCCCCCGCACCCTGGCCCCGCCATCCTGGCTGCAGGGAGACGGTGGGAAGTGGACAGTGACTCAGACAGCTGGAGGTGCCTGGGGCTGACTCAAACCCTGGAGCAGGGAGGCCGGGGGATATTTCCCGAGTGAGTGCCAGCACTCACGGGTGGTGCTTTCAGTGCTAGCAACCATCCTGCCCTCCGCAAGGAAATTAAAAAGAAAGAAAATAATGAAGAGAAAAACCCATTCGCTGGCTAGCTGGGAAAAGTAAAACCCAACACCTGCAGGCCAGACCTCCAGATGCAAACAGCTGTGCTGCCGATGTGATGGCTGGGAAGTGGGCTCCCTGCATCCCGAGCAGCTGCCTGCTGGCGAGGAGGCAGCAGGAACCCCAGTGGGAAGACGAACAGGGAGGTTACACTAGGTAGTTTCCTTGTACATGGCTGCTTTTCCCCTCTGTCCCCCAGCCTCCAGCCTGTCTCCTCTGCCTCTTTCACAGCAAAGATGCAGCTATCGCCCCTACGAGCCGAGGAGATAAGTTCATGAAAGGGCCAAGCGATGAGCAAAGCAGAAGGAGGTTCAGTGGAGCAAGTGGAGGGAGAGTTGGGACAGAGGGTTTCCCCAGCCGCACAGAAACACAGCGGCCCTCTCTGTGGGTACCCCAGACAACCCCTGGGAGCGGTACATATTGGGCTGCCCCCCGTTGCCAGCCCTGCCCGGCATCACTGGCGCTGCCCTGCGGTGCTTGTACCCTGGCACAACCGCCCCCC